ATAATAAAGTTTTGAATATCTTATGTAATTTATTGAGTACTACACATTAAATCAAAAGTGCCATGGTTTTACACCACTGTAAAGTCAAAAAATTGTAAGTCTAACTATTGTAAATCAGACACCATCTCTATTAATAAAAGGGTAAATTCCTCAAGAAGCCATAACAATTGTAACATATATGCAGCAAACAACAGAGCCTCAAACTATATGACACCAGCACTGATGTATTTGAAGGGGGAACTAGGTAGTTTCACTCATGTAGTTGGAGACCTCAATATTTCACTTTCAATAATGGATAGAACATCTAGACACAAGAGCAATATGGAAATAGAGGCATATTACCCATGTTTTTTCAGTCCAACAGGAACCCCATCCTTCAAATGCCAATTGGAAAGAAAAGGAGGTCAGTATTATAAGTGCTATTACAAATGTTATCGTTAAATGCTGCTGCACCATTTGAGACATTTCTTGACTATCACCACTCAAGATGCACTTTATCATGAGGAACCACTTTAGGCACCAAGACTACTGTTTTCTCAGGTCACAAGTCCAGGTTCAACACTTGTCTTCAAATCCCACAAAGTTCTAGGGAGATTGAACTACAGGGCATCCAGCATCCATTACATCCTGTGTCACCAAAGCACTTAGACCCTTGTCTAGGCCTCCAGTCAGACTCCTGCTTCCTCAGAATAATTTTATTTCAAGGGGCCTTTCTCCCAGCTCCTAGGCTATGACCAGACTCCCCCCATGCTTTCCTCAACAAGACTCCTTGACCTTAAATTCAGGGAAGACAAATCAGATTTCTTTCCCTTCCATTCTGGAAGGTTCTGGGTAAAACTGGTTCACTCCTCCCCGGCTACGAGCTCTGTGAAACATGGTGGAAGGAAACATTTGCTAACTGACTTAAAACATAAAAGATTTTATAAAATCCTAATTCTAGGAGAATAGGGGGAGGAGGTTACTGTATTTATTCTACTAAGAAGGCCACACAAGTGACCCTTCACAGGATAGAGATAATCATCTTTTCCAGATTAAAAAAAAAGTATCTGGTTAATTGCCAATAAGTAATACAGACAATGAGTACCAGAGGAGTTCTGAGAACAAGAAGATCAAAGAGGTTTGAAGGCAACCAGAACATTTTGAATCTGCTACTACTTAGAATGCAAAACTTGTCACCCAAATTTTACCATCACAGATTCATTTTTAAGAGAAAGTATTCTGGAGCAAACTCCTTTATTCAAATTTAATTTTATAATTTTCTCTATAATACAACTAAATTGTTTCAAATTTTCTCATTTCTAAAAGAAATTATTTTCCTTGTGATACATTCCTTTTTATTTCAATTTTTTAAATAAAGATTATCTCAATTCATATCATTGTATTTGTTTTTAACAGCTTTATTGAAATATAATTCACATACCATACAATTCATTCACTTAAAATGTACAATTTAATGCTTTTTAGTGTATTTACAGAGATGAACAATCATCACCACAATCAACTTTAGAACAATTTTATTACTTCCAAAAGAAACTCCATCCCTATTAGCAGACACTCCTATTCTCCTGAACCCCCATCCCTAAGCAACCACTAAGTTGCTTTGTCTTTATAGATTTTTCTATTCTGGACATTTTATACAAATGAAATCATACACTACATGATCCTTTGTGACTGGCGTCTTTTATTTACTATGCTTTCAAGATTTATGCACATTTTAGTATATATTTGGCACTCTTTCTTCCTGCCAAATATGTCATTGTATAAATGTATTACATTGTATTTATTATTAATCAGGTAATGGACTTATAGGTTCATCACTTTCTACTTTTTGGCTATTATGAATGGTGCTGCTATGAATATTCATGTACAAGTTTTTGTGAAGGTACACTTTTGCTTATCTTCTTGGGTATGTACCTAGGACTGGAGTTGTCAATTGGTTGCATTTGACCTTACATAATTTTCTTGGCTAACACTCCTATATTATGTTTATGTAATATACATATGGCAGAAAGACATAGAGAGAGACAGAAAAGAGAAAGACAGAGAGGCTGTACCTATTTGCATGTCTTATTAGAAATTTTTGCATGCATAGCAGATTCAATAATCATGGAGTTGAAAAGGTGGCATCAAAGTGATTGGCTCAAAATATTCTACAAAGGAAAAACTTTCTGGAAAAAATGTCTAACCAGAGTTGAGCTGGTTTTTGTAAAGAGTTGGAGAGAAGAGAGAAGATGGTGCTCTAGTAGGGGCCACAGCACAAGTAAAGGCCTGGTGATTGGGCTGGATATAGAGTACTTGCGGAATAAGTAAAAGTTACTAGAAGGTGAGGCTGGAATGATTTGTTAGAAATCACCTCATCAAGGTCTTTGAATGGTAGCCTCAAGGGTTTAAAGACTATGTTTTTATAGCTTTAGGGGACATTGGAGACTGTAGTTTTGATACATCAATCACATGATCAGATCAGATGGGCATGATCACAGTGATGACTGGCAGGTGCAGGCAGGATGGACCTAAGTGAGGAGACACTAAGCAAGCCCTCGTCCTTGGGTGTCTGTTGCAGCAATTCAGGGCTGGGATAAAAGTTTTGAGCATAGCCAGCTGGAAGTCAGTAGCTTAAATATTGATTTAGTGGGCAAACACCGCATTCATCACGGGGCTGGTTCCCTAAAAATCCTGTGCCTGTGTGCAGGGAACTCATCATTTCCCTATTACATAAATTGATTAGGTCATTCGGAGCCGAGATTGATGCCAGAAATTTGCTGCTAATCAAGCTAAAATAGCAAGTTGGAGGACAAGACAGGCCTTCTGCCAAATGGGCAAGGAACTGGTCCCAGAGGCAGAGAACACTGCAGCGAAGCACCCTGTCTCTGTTTGGGGAGTCTGGGCAAAGACAGCCTCTGAGAAGCCTGGCAATGCCCTTCAGTTACATCTGGAGTCTCCGGGGCAACTCCTAGAATGATACTTCTCAGGGTTTCTGTCAAGAGCTGACCAGCCAAGTAGAATCCAGCCCCAGAGGTCCATGACAGAGCTGTCCTCACTGTGTGCTGAAGCTATATGAATGGGGTTACTGGGGAAACAGGGCCTAGGGAAGCATCTGTGGGGAGTCCAGTGGAGGCAAAGCCTTGGAGAAAGAGGTGATTTGGTTTTGGCAATAATAATAGTCTGCAATAATTCAATTTTGTATTTGTATACACCTTGTACTGTGCTCCAGAAAAGAGGTTGGTTCAGTTTTCTTGGTGGATAAGATATTCTCCCCCTGACACAGAGACACGCTTGTGCCATTCTAAGAAGAGCCCTGCAAAACTAGCCACAAGCCATCCAGTGCCAGGAAGCCTAGTTCTGATATGGTGGTGTTGGAGTTTCTACCCATCTCTCCATAATACAGAGGAAAGTGTACTTGGCTCCATCTATAAACTGGAGCAGCATATCTGGGAACACCCAATCGCCAAAGCCCCCTGGTTTGGGACAATCAACATCCCAAGTCAGATGCCTTTCAGCTTTGGGCAGCTCTCCTGTCCTGCAGCCCACCTCTCATTCTGTGACCAGCCCTGGTTTCAAAGGCGTGAAATGCTCAGTGAGTAGTGGAGGGAACACTTTTAGTACTGTAACCCATAATTGACTGGCGCTGCTGCCACCCCTTTGGGTTGACCTTAGCCTGGAATGCTTCCTATTCTGGAAGCCAGACAGCCCCGGATTAGAAATGGGTGGGTGGCAGGGGCGGGGGGTGGCGGGCAGGCAGGGGGCAGGAGTTTGCATTTTGCCACCCCTCACCCACCTGGGATGTCTAAGCACAGTCATCGTTGTTATTTTTATTTTCTGCCATCATATCATCACCAGGGTCCTTCTTCCTGCAGTCTATAGTAAGGGGGAGGACAGGGAAGGAGCTGGTGCCCGAAGAGGATGATTTTCTGCCTATACTGAGGGTGTTGCTCGCCAGAACTTTGTGGCCCCGGCAAAGCCTGCTTGTGCCCAGCAGAGAAGCGCCGGCAGCCGCGCGGGGCATCTGCAGTCTTTTCCTGCCGCGGTGGGGCGTAGGGGGCGACCATTTCCCCGGGGCGTTCCATAGCCTCCGCGCTGGCCTCAGGGGAGCTGCTACTGGAGCTTCCTCTACACTTCCTTTATTCCTCTACTCTCTACCGCAGCCAGGGTCTTATTCCCTGCCCCGGGCTAGAGAGGCGGTGAGCTGGGGTGGCGCGAGGAGCCCGGCAGTCCCCGGGCCTGGGCGCTTTTTCCTCCGGTGGCACCTTGGTCCCCCACCCGCGCTTGACTCCTCCTCCGTCTCTATTCCGCAGCGTCCCCGCCCTGTCAGCAGCCTGCTTCAGCGACCGCACCTGCCTCGGGTGGCGGGTGGGGGGTGCACACGGGAGGTAGAAGGGAAAACAGGGAGGGTTTGAGGAGCACAGCGCATCGGGGTGAGCAGCCTCGCCCCGGCCTCGGATCCCTGCGACCCGAGCTGCGCGCGCCCGGCCGCAGCTGCCGCACCGATGCGCTGTCCGCGGTGCTGACGCCGGCCGCCCGCTCGGTCGGGAGGGGGAGCAAACGCCCTCGTTCCGGGGTCGCTCGGAGCCCAGAGATCGCCTCTCCCCGATTCCCGGTTTCCAATGGAACCCGCTGCTTCCTGGCGCCGAGGTTCTATCCAGAGCAAAGGAGTTAGCGAAGGGGGAACTTAAAACTTCGGTCTAGAGCCTGAGAGCCCAGTGTCGGGGATTCGCGTCGCGCGGCCCCCAGCCCTGGAGACCTCGGAGCATCACCAAGTTAAGCAAAGTTTCACCGCGGCTTGAGATAAGGGAGGGACTCCGGAGGAGAAGCGCAGGGAGGGGCAAGACGAGGTTCCCCGGCGGGGTGGTAGCCAGCACCGCAGTCGGACACCTGCTCCGGTGCCCTGCATCAGTGCCACCAGAGCCACCGGGAGGCATCGCAGCAGCCCAACTCTCCACCCCCTCCCTTCTGTCCCTACTCATCCCTCCCCAACACCCCGCCCCGGGCGCCAGTGACTCCGCCTCTCCCTGCCGGGCGGCTCTTCGACTAGAGCTGAGAAAGGAGCGCTTCCCCGGACTCGGCTCGGCTCCGAGGCTCCGAAGCCGACGCCGCCAGCTCAGCTCCGGGGGCGGGAGCAGAACTGCCCGCGCAGCCCGCACATAGGAGCCGCCGAGCCCGAACGACTCATGGGACGCCCCCGGGGGCTCTCTCCGTGCCCGGCTGCAGCGTCCCGGTCCTAGGCGCCCGGGCTCCACGGCCCACCCCGCCCGCAGCCCGCGGCCTGTCTGGAGAGGAGTATGAGGCCCGGGGCCCCGCGGACGCCGGCCACGGGGCGGCAGGGGCCTAGCTGCGGAGCCCCGCGCCCGAGGGCGGCGGGTAAGGAGCCGCGGGAGCCGGCGAGGCGTCGGGGCGCGGAGAGAAGCGCCCCTGCCCGGGCACCCGCTGGGCCGCAAGACTCGCGTGTGGCCTGAGCGCCCGGGAGGAGGCGGAGGTGCCCCTCCGTCCGGGCTCTGGGAAGGCGGCGAGGGGCTCCGCGGCGGCCCCGGACCCCTGGCCACCATCCTCACGCTCCTGCTCCCGCCGGGGGGATGTCGCGGCCCGGGCCCCGAGCGCCGCCTCGGCCCCGGGGCTGAGCTCCGGACCATGTCCTCCCGCAGCCCCCGGCCCCCGCCCCGCCGTAGCCGCCGCCGCCTGCCGCGCCCCTCCTGCTGCTGCTGCTGCTGCCGCCGCTCGCACCTCAACGAGGACACCGGCCGCTTCGTGCTGCTGGCGGCGCTCATCGGCCTCTACCTGGTGGCGGGTGCCACAGTCTTCTCGGCGCTCGAGAGCCCCGGCGAGGCGGAGGCGCGGGCGCGCTGGGGCGCCACGCTGCGCAACTTCAGCGCTGCGCACGGCGTGGCCGAGCCGGAGCTGCGCGCCTTTCTCCGGCACTACGAGGCCGCGCTGGCCGCCGGCGTCCGCGCCGACGCGCTGCGCCCGCGCTGGGACTTCCCGGGCGCCTTCTACTTCGTGGGCACCGTGGTGTCAACCATAGGTGAGCGGCGCGCCCCCCGCGCGACTTTCCTCTCGGTGCCTTTCACCTGCCGCCCTTTCTGCTGCTCGGCCGCTCGGTCCGCGTCCCTCGGCTCGCCCTTCCCTTCCAACGTCCCTTTGCCTACTTTTGTCTCGCCCTCTCTTCTCCGCCCGCCCCTGCCCTCTCTCTTTCCCGGCTTTCGGTGCGGGAGGAAAGCCCACCTCTGGCGCTCACCAGCGGTAACTCGCCAGGCAGTGTGCCTGCATGGGGAGAGCCCGGGCCGCCTGCGCTCTGACACTGTCCGGCTCCGTGACCTGACCTCTGTGAGCCTCCGTTTTCTGCTCTAAGAATACCTGCCAAGGGCTACGGGTTCTTTCCTATTTTCCATCCACAACCCCTGGGCCTGTTTCCTCCCCAGGATGATTTCAAAAACCCTTCTCCCTCCACCCTCGGTGCTTTTATTTCTTTTCGTAGTCTCTCCCTCTTTCTTCTTTTACCCTGTGTTTCCCCCCTCCAGTGGCCTCTAACTCCTTTACCCTGGAGAGGGGGACCACTTGCCCCAGAATCACTTTCCCTAGATCTCCTTCCCACCTGCTACTCCTATAATCTATACCGCCCCTCACGCGCCCCCCAAAGTAAAGCCCGTTAGCCTGAGGCCAGGACTTCAGCTGCTGCTGTTCTGCCTCCCTTCATTCCGCTCTCCCCCAACTCCCAGCCTCTTGTCCAATTTCTTGACCTTTTCTTTGTTCCCTTGCCACTTTTTCCAACCATTAGTGGTAGCAAGGGGTAGCTGGGAGCAGGGATAATTCCCCTATTCTTTCCATCATCTTTTCTCCCTATTTTGGGGTATAAACAGTTCATGTTTTCTCAACCTTATGAAGAATGCTGTGTAAATAGTCCTTCAAGCCCCCACCCCTCTCTCTGTGGCCAGATTGCTGTCTCTGAGCTGCTGTGGAGAAATTCTGGAGCCATCACTGCTCTCCATCTACCCCTTCCTTCCTCTTTTTTTCCTCTCCTCTCACTCACTTTCCCCATCCCCCACTTTCCCTGGGGCCTGGGTGTCATGTGAAACAAAGCCCCCACCCTCAGTTACTCACCTGTATGGAGTGCAGCAGAAATACACGATTATTACCTTGACAAGGCTGTGTGTGTCCCCCACTCCTGCTTTGAATCCCAAGATGGAAGAAGGCACTTGGCTGGTCACACCTCTAGTCACCCCAAGGCACTGTCTCCTGCTTTGCAGTTTTGAAGGAGGGGGCTGGATTTGCTGGGCTGAGAAATGAGGGATTTCAAAGACACACCTTCTGGAGTGGTTTAGTATGCCAGTTCAGACAGAGGTATGGACTGTAACTGACCAGGGTAAGCCATGGCAGATGGCTGCTTGGAGGCAGGGAGAGAGGCTGCCTCCATGTGCAGCATATGAGCAGCTAGAGATGTCTCTCTAAGTGTATATGTATAGTCTATGAAAGCACTTCCTTGCCTTCAATGATTTTTCATGTGTCATGCTTGATCTGATTATTTTAAATAGAAAAGGCAAATATGGCCCAAGTCCAAAGCACACACAAATTGGATAAAAATACCCTTTAAAAAGCTATATCATGTTGTTATGGTGATAGAAGATATAAAATGACCCCCTCAAAAAAAAATCCCCTTTTAAGAGCTGCATCAAGTTGCTATAGCAACTAGAGTTTTTTCTTTTTTTTTTAAGTGCTTTAAAAGTACTAAGGATGCTTAGTCTTGGAGGATGACATCATGCATCCATAGCTCATTGTTGACTTGTGCTCTTCGTTTTGTAAACATGCCCTTTCCCTTTCTTCCACCTAGAGGCACCTGTGCACGTAGTGGGTGGTCACAGCATTTTTTTCCCCATTGACATGTTCCGGCTTCCTAATGGAATCCACAGGCTAAAGGGGAAGCTGTTGGCAGTGTCCCTTTTGTTTTTGGGCCATGAGTCCATCCAAATAAGGCCCCATTCCAATGACCTGTGGTCTCTGATGAGTTCCACCAATATATCATTTGGTGCCTCTTTGGAGGCACTGATTCTGAGCCCAGCCACAGCTTCTAACACTTCTCTTTCAGCAGTTTGCACAAAATCAAGTCAGTGTGTTGGGAAATTGTTCCATGCCCCAGCCTTTAGTCTACTGGCAGGATTGGCTGTTCTTTAGTCAAGTGGAAAGGAACTATATTCTCTTTCTTGATTTGTGTTTTCAGATGTAGGCAAGCAATGTAGGAGGGCTACACTGAAGCATGTGGTTATGTTACGAGTGACCCAGCATGTTGCTTCCAAAATATGCAGGGAAACATTCAAACCAGCCTCAGGATTGAACTAGCCCTCTGTGAGAATGCCATGACAGCCACACAGGTAGCAGGATCTCTGCTGGTTATCACCCTAATGGGGTCAGTGGTTCAAACTGGTCACTTCCACCAGTCAGATAAGTTCTGCCGAATCTCCAAGTAGTGTAATTGGCATTTCAGCCTTCTCTTTGCAAAATGCTCTTGGCTGAGATTTAAGTAAAGATCTGCACAGGTCAGTTTCTTTTCTGCTTACATAGTTCCTTTCTCTTAAATAGCCTGAATCGTCAGAGACAATTATTATTATTATTATTGATGCTTTTATGGGTTCAACAGATCAGGGAGCCAAAGCTCAGTCCACAATGGGCAGGATTCTTTATCTGCCTCTTTATCCAATGAAGAGGAAAATTAGCACATACTCAGTTTTATTTGATGAGTGAGTATCACAGTGTATATGGTTCACACAGTGCTATGGAATTCAAGGGAACAAAATGATTTGGTTCAGCTATGTATACTGCCTAATCAAAAGGGAGTGTGTGTGTGTGTGTGTGTGTGTGTATGTGTGTGTGTGTGTGTGTATGTGTTGTGTAGACCCAGCTATATTATTCATCTAGACTTTAGTGTAGAAAATCTTCGCTTCCATTCATTCCATAACATGATTGTGTGTATCAGGCTGTATTTTGAAAGGTTAAAGCTTATTCTACATGGCAAAGATTAAGGCACATTCCAACATGGGCAGCCGGATCACAGCATTTATGAGCAACATATCTTCACCATCCTCACTGAAGAGGATTAGAACAAGAAAGGGACCTTTAGTCCAGTCTTATTTGGCAACAGGGTTAGGGGACTTGTCAATGGTCACACAGTTAATGAGGGGTTCAGCTAGGTCCAGAAACCAAGTTGTGCAGTATCCACCAATTTCATACATATAATTGGTTGGAACATTCTTGTTTGAAACTAAAGTATTTAATAAAGGGTATGTGTCTGTCTGTCTGAATGAGAAAAAGAGAGAGAGAGAGAGAGAGAGAGGTGTGTGAGTGTGTGCCTGTTTGTGTGTGTGTGACCAGGCCAGGGACTGGTCTGCTGGTCTGTTGGTCAGGTCATCAACTGATTAACTCCAGAGAAAACTTGAAGGATCAGACAGATCTTATAGGTCAGACAAGTTAGAAGCATCTGGCAGGTCTTAGCTAGTCAGGCAAGAGCCAGCATAAAGGGCAGAGATGAGGCATTAACAAGTAAGAACTTCTGGCAAACTGGGATCTAAGGACAGAAGTCACTTGATTTCTGCCCTTTTCTGCACCAGTGTGTGTATGTGTGCACATGTGTGTGTGCATGAAGGCATACACACTCTTGAGAGCACATGTTTATAGAGGAAGGGAAGAAGGGGCAGGAATGGGCTTTCACCTGGTCGAAGATGTAATAAAAGGTTCAGGTATGGCTATGTGTACTCAAGGTTACATGGAACGCTATGATGATGTAGAATGTTTATCCTGACATTTGGTTTGAACAGAGTCCTGTATCCACAGCTGGGCAGTTTGCAATCGTGTAGATACACGTGTGTCTACACAGTGCAGTACCAGTGGAAAATTTTGCCTGTGATTATTCAGCAGTCGTTTAGGCTGTGTAGAAAGTTAATCTGAATAACTCAAGCGAAATAAAAATCCACTTTGTAGTCTAAATTATTCATAGTGATTGCTTATACTGAACTGAAATCCTGGGTAATTATTATTTCTCCCATTTACGCTATATGACATATTCCCTAGGGGTTGAAATCTAGTTTGTTTTAATGTGAACGTATCTATGTATTCATTTCCCCAATTAACAAACATCTAGACAACCATCACTCATCACAGATGCCTTGGCCTTGTCGTCTGCACATCCTGTGATTCTATGAACTAAAGACAGAGATAGTGTCTTGTGTTCTTTTAGCATGAAACAATATTCTTGAAGGGAGTATTCCAGCTCAGAGATATTCCAAACAATCCAAAGAGAATTAACCCATCACTTCACATCCTAAAGATGTTTGTCGGTTAACTTTGAAAAGATTAAATGGAAACTCTCCACTGGGGTTTTAATTATGCATCTGCTGTCAAATTTACACATAGGAAAGAACATATTTTAAAATCTTTCTCAAATGGCAGCTTGATATAAACAGAAATATTTTTGCTTCCTTTTATTAGGTTTTCTGGCAGGGTTTTTTAGCTATAAAGCTAAAATCATGCCGCTGTAGATGGGATGGTGTAGGTATGAGAGTTGTCACTTTTGGCACTGCATAATTTAGCTTGCTACTTTCAGAATTAGGCACACTTAATTATTCAGCCACGAGATTAGTAACAAATCCTAACTTTTTCCCTCTCTTTCAACATGGGTTTTTAAAAACTGTTTTTGCTACAAAGGAAACTAAGACATTATAAGCCCAAAAATGTCACTACCACATTTACATTCAACTTTCTTCTAACATGTATGTAATCCAGCTGAAGATAGTTTTGATATCTGGAATAAAATACATTATCCAGAAGGAGAGGCGCACCCTTCCTTGCATATTTGTCTCATCAGCTTTTTTTTTTTCTCTAACAGACACGGTCTTGCTCTATTGCCCAGGCTGGAGTACAGTGGAGTGAACACAGCCTACCACAGCCTCAATCTCCTGAGCACAAGTAATCTTTCCACCTCAGCCTCCCAAGTAGCTGGGACCACAGGCACACATCACCACATCTGGCTAATTTTTT